AAAAGCCAAGCCTGGCCTAGAGAAAGTGGGTGGAGAGTTGCATCTCCTGACAGTGGAACTCAAAGACATCCAAGGAGTCGGAAGATTCAGGACAGATAACATTAAGCTCTTCTTCACGCAAGGCAGAGTTCACCTGCGGAACTCCCGGCACTGGACACCAGAGGGAGAGGGAAACTGGCTTGCCAAGGGTTAAAAGGGATTGAGCGGGATTCCTAGAGGGAGAGAAAATAAAGGCGTTTGGGGGGGGTGTTGGGGGGGAGAAACTCCCCAGCCCAAGCCCCTCCCTCTCCGCCCTGCCTAAAAAGGAGGAGGGGCCTTTGTCTCTCTCTTCTGCACGTGCTGCCTCCAGGGCGCCTCCGGGCAGCCGGTGAGTCTCTGCATTGGGGAGAAGAGGGGGGTCCCCGGGATGCAGGGGGGAGCGGGGGGACCCCCAAGTCAAGGGGCAGGGGCTCCTGCCCCACCTCTCTGCAAAGCCCGGGTGGGGGCGAGGGCACAGGAGCTCTGCAAGTATTATCTTCCTTTCGATCCCTTCGTAGAGGGAAGAAAAGGGCCTGCAAAGAAGCCCCCTTCAGACCCAGGAATCAAGACGTCGTAGTGGGAAAGAAAGATCTGTACGGAAAATAGATGCAAATAATAATAGGGGAGCGTGAGCCATGCAATCAATTGAGACTGTTGGAAGAGGGGAGGGGGCAGAGAAGAGAAAGCGCTTCTTGGTGCCGTGCAGAATCAAGCCTGTGGAACTCCCTGCCCCAGGAGGCCAGGCTGGGACCAGGGCAGGGAGGAGGAGGAGAGGCTCCGGGTGGCTTCATGCAGGAGGGCTGAGCTCTCGTCTCCCCAGAGATGCTGCTGAATCCCAGTTGCTGGAAGGAAGCGCAGGGGGAGAGGGGGGGCTCTTGCGCCCCAGTCCGGCTGGGGGGCTTCCCATTGAGGCCCCTGGGTGGCCCCTGTGAGAATCATAGGGACATGGAATCGTAGAGCTGGAAGGGAGCCCAAGGGTCATCTAGTCCAGTGCAGGGAGGAGGAGAAGCTCCTGGTGCCCATCGGGCTGATTCATCTCACAGAAACCGCTTCCGTTTCCTCCACTTTTGGCCTGGTCACTTTCCCCCTAGGAGGGCGAGAGAATTTCTTCTTCTACATTCTTCCCTTTTTTCTTACAGAAAGCTCAAAGTCTGGCCCAGGGTGCAGTCCAGCCCTGGTTCCTAGCAAGACTCATCCACACTTGCTCAGAGAACCTTTCTATTCTCCTGACCGTGTGCCAATTTCATAACAGAACAAAATATTTCCTTTGCAGTATTTGGCAGCACCTCTAAATCAGACAGGCAGAACTTGGCCAAGGAAAAACTGGATTCCCTCCTAAAGATGGATGAGCAAGACTCAGCTGGCCCTGGAGCAGGAAGAGGCCATGCTATGGAAACTGGGAGCAGTGGGGGATTATGGGAAAACTCAGTGCAGAAGCTCCTGGGAGAGGAGGACACCCTTTGCTCAGAGGCGCAGAGCCGGCAGTTCAGGTGGTTCTTCTCCCAGGAGGCCAAAGGACCCCGTGAGGTTTGCAGCCGACTCCACCACCTTTGCCACCAGTGGCTGAAGCCAGAAAGGCACATGAAAGCTGAGATGCTGGACCTGGTGATCTTGGAGCAGTTCCTGGCTGTCCTTCCAGCGGAGATGGAGAGCTGGGTGAGGGAATGCGGAGCGGAGACCAGTTCCCTGGCAGTGGCCCTGGCCGAAGGTTTCCTCCTGAGTCAGGCAGAGGAGAGGAAGCAGGTGAGAGAGACTTTCCTCTGGATGCTCCCAAGGGGCTCCAAGGAGGGAGAAGATCCCTAAATCCCATCCTTTTTCGGAAGGCTACCAGATGCTGCTAAAATTTTTGCCTCTGCCATTCCTATTCTGATTCTTTTCCCCATCTCTGTTTTGAATCCTTGTTGCTGTTTCAGGGAAAGGATCCGTTTGCTGAAATGGGTCCTGATTTCTCTGAAGTAGAGAAGTCTCTGTTGGACACCAGAGATAAGCCACTGGGTAAGAAGGAAGGAGTATTTTCTCAGTTTGGTCCCATTCTGTTGGTGTTGAAAATAATCTGGTGGTTCTTTTGATCTTTTTGGGGAAGACACTTGAGGCCCTGAGCCCAGAGGAGCCTGATATATAATTTTGCACAATTAAATATGAAATAGGTACAGGGGAGTATTTCTTAATCTGTAGTTAGAGATGCACTGCTTCAGCTCTGAGAGAAGCATCCTGCACTCCTGTCTCCCCACTTCCCTTTGTCTCTCGCAGGTGAAAGAAGGATGCCGGCAAGACCTCCTCCTCCATCTCTTCATCCTGGTGGAGGGGAAGCAGCGGCTGAGGAACCGGATCAGGTGCGGGGAAGGAGCCATGGGGGGAAAGGGGCTGAGGGTGAGGGACAGAGGGCATTTCTGAGACGGAACAAATCTCTCCCCTCCTCATTGCTTCTGTCAAAGCTGCCCTTAACAAAGGCTGAAAATGCCATTAATGAAGGTTTATGCTCCGAGTAGCCCCTTCACCTTAACTCTGAATGTCGCTAGTATTATTCGTTATAAATTCTCTTTGAGACATCTGGGGAGTCTTTCCATCCCAGAACAACACACAGGGAGAGGAGAGAGGGATTCTTCCATTTGGCAAACTGGAATGCTTGCATAGACATATTGATCTGAATAAAACAACATGGAGTTCATTAAAATAAGCACCAGTAATCCAAATGTGCAACAGACCAATCCAATTAAAACAACCCAGGCAGGAAGCAAAAGAGCAACGTGCAGGAAATAATCTTTATGCTGCCTAAGAGAAGGATATTTTACTTTCAGAGCTCAGTTTCTTTTGAAGATGTCGCTGTTTGTTTCACGGCTGAGGAGTGGGCGTTGCTGGATCCTGCCCAGAGAGCTCTGCATAAGGAAGTCATGGAGGAGACTTGGAGGACCATGATCTCTCTGGGTAAAGTTCCCTGTTGGGTCATCATCTCTGTTTTGGAATTCAGTAGATATTTCTCTGGGACAAACCTCCCATATTTGGATGGATCCCAACGTTGCCACTTAGAGTGCCAGGGATTCTCTTTTTTTTAAAAAAAATGAATATTTATTAGCATTTTCAAAAAAAGGAAAAAACATACAAAAACAAAAATACAAAAATACAAAAAACCAAAACTTAAAAACAATTAAAAACACCTGAAAGTTCAAATACTTATTTTCTTTTAACTTGTTTCTCAGACCTCCTCACGCCTCCCTTTGTTGTATTCCAATTTAAATTATTAGCTCAGCAAATCCTTGACTTACTTCTCCATTTTAACTTAATTTAATTTATTCTAACGTGTTATTATTTTACTTTTCTTCTTTCTTCCATTTCCTCAATTTATATTTACAAACCTTAATTTCATTTAATTTAGACCATTTTAAAAACCAATTTTAACTTCTCCAAATTTACACATCAATATTTATACCTCATTATTTTTTCTTAAACATTTTTGCTAAAGTTGACCAAAATTTCCCTTCCACGACTTTCCCAATTTCCATACTAATAGCAAAGCAAAGTTAAAACAAAACAAACTATATTTATATACCCTTTGGATTCCCAAACTCCACCCACCCTTTTCCCGGTTTTAGTCCTCAACAAAAATCCATCAGTCTCAATATACTGTTTAGCCTGGAGATCTCACGTCCGAGGCTCTCAATTCTCTCTCAGTTCCTCTCTGCCGGTCTTTTTGATAGTCCTTAATGTTAAACTCCAAATCTCGAAGAAGCTCCGGCCCAACAGGATCCATGTTTCTACCAGCCAGACCTCCATATTTAAAAGTAAAGCCTAGGGGGTACTTCAAATCTTGTTTTATACTCCTTTCAGGTCCAAATGTCCCCAGAGCTCCAACTTCCACCTCCAATTCAGGCCAGGCTCTCCACATCAGAATTTTATTTTCCTTTTTTGTCATCATGTCAGGCCTCAAAATGCAACTCTCCTTTAACTTCTGCAAAGTTTCAGCTCCTCTTCCTTTTCTTCAGGAGCAACATCTGTCACCTGCTCCATATTGTCAAAGCTCTCCGCTTTCTCTTATTTGTTCAGTTGGATAGGCTCCTTGTTTCAAGTCCTTATCAGATTCAACAATGTTCTTTACTGCTAAGTCCAGAGTTGTAACATTTGTAGCCAAAACATCAGATTGGCCTTGTAACTTTCCCAAGAGAACAAATGCTCTGTCCAATTCAGCCTGGATTTTCCTTCCTCCAGCCATTCCTGTAATGTCACTAAACCCCTCTAGGGGGATTTTAGTTCCTTAATATTCCTTTCAGCTCAAGTCCAAAAGTCAGGTTATTTTGTATCAGCCCTTCCTTATTTTCAACAGATTATTACAAATTAACCAACAGAAGCAACAGAAACAAGGTTCTCTTTTTCCGTCTTGACAGCTAACTTGACAGCTGTCAAACTTTTCAGTCTTTCATCAACAGGCTCTCTCGCGGGACACTCCCGGGTCCGGGGGGGTGAAACTTCAGCTCCCAAAATTAATCTTATTATCCTCCAGCAAAAATTCTTATGATGTCAAAACCGTGAAATTAAAGTCTTTTACTAAAAAGAAAGAAAAGATTCTCTTGACCTTAGCTAGCAGGTCCTTTGCTTTAAATTGTTTACAAGGGGGGGTGGACTTCCTTTTTAACCCTTCCCCGCTCGTTCCGGATCCACCAAATTTTTATTTAAAATTCCAGTTTCCGTATTACTCACGGGTTGGTGTTTTAGAGTCTGAATGTTCCAAGAGAAAGTCAGCGCTCTCCGATAATGGCTTGCGGCTTCACTCTGCAGATGAAGGAGTACTCTCAGCACAGTGCCGCACCCCGTCCCCGTTCCGAAGCCTTTAAAAAGGCTCCTTCATGGATTGGGGGGGGCGCAAATGGTGCCTGCCGAGTCACTACGCTCACAGGCTTCTGCGCCTGTGATTTTAAGGGTCCCCGCGTCGCCGTCGCGGCAAGACCCAGTCTCTGCAGAGCCGATTCCCTCCGGAGCTCGGAGGGAATCCGCCATTAATCGATGGCGCCAACCCGGAAGTCTAGAGTGCCAGGGATTCTCACACCCCCACAGCTCACCCTTGCATGGAGGGCTATGGACTGTTTTGTCTGTGAATATGGTTCCTCCCCTTCTGCCTTTTTGCACAAGGATCAGGGTGTGGATAGGCTTTCTGAGTGTCTAGGGAAGTGGACGTCGCTTAATCTTTTGAAATCACCAATAGTTAGTTTAGAGCTTGTTGATCTATTTTCCAACCCATTTAGAATTCTGTCATTACACAGCAATTTAATTCTCCCCTGGACGCTAGGTAATTGGTAGACAGAGAATCCAATTCACATTCAAATAGAGTTCTGACCTTGCAGATGGAGTTGGTTCAATGATTGAGCCAAAGAAATTTCACCCCTGAAAAGAACAGGCTTTTTGAATATGAATTTCCCATAAATGACAGTAAATGTTAGTCAGCAAAGGCAGTTAATTCTGCAGTAAGACTTCCCATCTAACGCCCTTCAGATCTTCCTTTATCACAAATGTTCATGAGCGTTATTCAAAAACTGGGAACTCATTTCTTTCTTGGGCTCTGATCTGTTCCTCTCTTTGTTGCAGATGGTGATGAATTAGAAATTAAGAATAAGGGACAACAGGACAAAATCCACACAGTGGAGAAGCCATATCAAGATTTGGAGTGTGGGGAGAACTTCAGTCAGAGCTCCCATGCCACTTCCCATCAAGAGAATCCTATTGAAAGAAACCCTTTCAGTGCTTGGAATGTGGAAAGAGCTTCAATCACAGCTCACACCTCAAGCCCATCAAAGAATTCATTCCGGGGAGGAAACCATATCAGTGGTTGGAATGTGGAAAGTTCTTTTACTACAAGCAGATACTTCCGTCGACATTGGAGTATTTCATAGCGTAGAGAAACCATATCAGTGCGTGGAATGTGGAAAGAGCTTCTCCAGGAAGGAGAATCTCACTTCCCATCAGAGAGTTCATACAGGGAGAAACCATACCAGTGCTTGGAGTGTGGGAATAGCTTCAGTCGGAAGATTAGTCTACTTGCCATCTAAGAATTTCATACAGGGGAGAAACCATATCAATGTTTGGAGTGCGGAAAGAGCTTCTCCAGGAAGGGACCCATCTCACTTCCCATCAAAGATATCATACAGGGGAGAAACCATACCAGTGCTTGGAATGTGAGAAGTTCTTTATTACAGGGAAAAGATTTACATCGACACAGAGAATTCACCAGTGGGCGAGAAACCATATCAGTGCTTGGAGTGTGGGAATAGCTTCAGTGACATCTCACATCTCAAAGCCCATCAAAGAATTCATACGGGGGAGAAGCCCTATCACTGCTTTGAGTGTGGAAAGAGCTTCAGTGGGAAGACTAGTCTTACTTCCCATCAAAGAATTCATACGGGGGAGAAGCCCTATCACTGCTTTGAGTGTGGAAGAGCTTCTCCAGGAAGGACAATCTCACTTCCCATCAGAGAATTCATACAAAGGAGAAGCCATACCAGTGCGTGGAATGTGGGAAGAGCTTCTCCAGGAAGGATAGTTTCACTTCCCATCAAAGAATTCATACAGGGGAGAAACCATACCAGTGCTTGGAATGTGGGAAGTGCTTCAGTTGGAAAATTAGTCCTTACTTCCCATCTAAGAATTCATCACCAGGGGAGAAGCCATATCAGTGCTTGGAATGTGAGAAGTGTTTTTGCTTCAACAAAAAACTTATGGCGACATAGGAGAATTCACACTGGAGAGAAACCATTTCAAATGCCAAGAGTGTGGAGAAGAGATTCACCTTCAAGCAAACTCTCACTTCCCATCAAAGAATTCACACAGGGAGAAAACCACTATCAGTGCTTGGAATGTGGGAAGAGCTGGAAGGAAATCTCACTTCCCATGAAATAACTCACAGCGGGGGGAAATCCTGGAATTATAGAATAGTAGCTTTGGGAGGAATCTTGAGGGGTCATCTAGTCTAACGAACTTGCAATGCATCTTCTTGATGTTTAGTCAGAACTCCCTTTCTTCTTCTGTTCTTGGGTGGGGGTCACATGGTTCTTCACTTCCTTTTTGATCATTGAGAATAAGTGTGAGGTAGGTTAGGCTCCCAAGGCTGTCCAGTGAAGCTACATGGCCAAGGAGGGATTTGAACCCAGGTCTCCCAGGGTGTTGTCAAATACTCTGGCACTATACTACACTGGCTCTCCTATGAACTCTTAGAAATTGTTCATGCATTTGTGTCTGCCTAAAATTTGGGTGCCATATGCTGGGTGTTTGTATTTAAAGCTGTGTACTCCTCTAACAAAGTAATTTATGTAATAATAGTAAGTCAAGTTCAATATTATAATAGATTTAAGGTAATTGTTATCTGGGGGAGGGGGCTGTTGATTGGCTGAGAGTTTGGAAGGGTATTTAAGTAAGCACAACATAACCATCAGGCCTCTGGCTAATTAAACTTTATCATTTTAAGTGTCTTTGTGGGAGACGGAAATATTGGTGTGTTTCATTTTTGTTTTTATTATGTAATTGGTGTTTTTATTTTGAATGTTAATGCTGCGTAATGCCCTGATATCTTCAAAGGAAGGGCAGTATATGAATTTTAATAAATGAAAAATAAGGTCATAAATCATAAAGGAAAATATAAAAATACTCTGGGTGGCAGCTGGAATGAAGGGGCTGTTTGGTGAAATACCCAGTCAGGACCCAGCTCACAGCTCTGCCCCTTGAGTACTCTGGGAAGGGCCACCATAGCTCAGGAGCAGGACACCTGCTTGGCATGCAGAAGGGCCAGGCTCAATCTCCCTTGTGAGCATCTCAGGCTGGGAACATTCCCCGTCTTGAACCCTGGAGGGTCACGGCTGGAAACCTGGAGCAGCTGGAGGGACCCCCAGGGTCTGTCCTGGCAGGAGACACCAGGTTCTTCCTGTCCCCCTTCCGAGGGAGCTGGGGCCCTTTGCCCTGCTGGGGGTGGGCATGCAGAGGGGGCCCCTGTCGCCTGGGGACTATGACCCCATTAAACCCTGTGGAGGCCCCCTGGCCGTTGAAATCTCTGGGTCCCCTTGCAAATGACCTCTGAATCACTTTCTGATTTTACCAACCAGCAATTCCAACAAACCCAATTAATATTCTGTTGATCCGTTGTCGCGGGGCCCCTAAGAGGCGCAGGGCCCAGAGTCTGGTGCCAGCTCTGCCTGTCTGGCCCTCCTGCTCTGCTGGGGCGACTCCTCAGAGGAGAGGGCAGGGCTGGGAGAGGAGTTGGAGCCCCTGCTGTCTCCCAGCCCCACCCCCTTCGCCCCCATCTCCTGGGTCTCCTGGTTCTTCTCCTCCATTTCCTGGGTGGGGGAGGCTGACGGGATGACCCTGGGAGTCCCCCTTCCAGCTGCCCCTCCAGCTGCTGTTTCCAAGGGAGGGAGCAGCTCAGCTCGCCAGCCAAGAGGGGCCCCCAAATCCCCCTGCTTTGGAGAGGGAGAGAAGGGGTGCACGGCAGGCCAAGGGTTAAGAGGAGCGGAGCTGCCTTCCTAGAGCGGACAGGAAAAGAAGGGGAAGCAGGCTGGTCCTCCCGAGCCCCTCCCTCCGCAGAGCCTGCCTTGCTGGAGAGGAAGGGATCTGCCCGCTCTCCTCTGGGATCTGGTGAGGCCTCCTCTCCCTTCCCCAGAGGGTGAATTGGGGAGAAGGGGAGGGTGCATTGGGGGGTCTTCCCTATCCATGCAGCGTGGGACCCCCAAGTGAGGGAGCAGAGGGTCCTGGCCCCTTCTTTTCTGAAAACCAGAGCGGGAAGTGAGTTCGCCGCAGGTATGAAAAGATGTTCCTTATTGTGCCAACTCCTTGGGGCACCCACAAAATTCTGCATGAAGGAGCCGGACAAGGTGAGGTACAGGTGGGTAAAGGACCCCTGGACGGTTAAGTCCAGTCAAATTCAACTTTGAGGTGTGGGCTCTCAGCGCTGATTTCAGCCTGAGGGAGCCCGGCGTTGGTCCAGGCAGGATTCAGGGTCAGGTGGCCAGCAGGACTAGACCGCTTCTGGCGCCACAGGACACCCGTGATGAGCGCCAGAGCGCATGGAAATGCCATTTCCCTTCCTGCTGCAGTGGTATCTATTTATCTACTTGCTTTCAACCCTGCTAGGTTGGGCAGGAGCTGGGACAGAGCAATGGGAGCTCAGCCTGTCACGCAGATTCGAACCTCCGACCTTACAGTCGGCAAGCTCAAGAGGCTCTGTGGTTTAGACTACAGCGCCACCCCATCCACGACAGCCCAACACAACCCCAAATCAGAGGGCCACTCAGCAAATGAGACTTTCATAGAATCACAGAATTGTAGAGTGGGAAGGGACCCTGGCAGTCATCTAGTCCACCTCCCTGCATTGCAAGAATCGTCACTAAAGCATCCATGACGCTTTAAAACTCTCCATGGAAGGAGAGTCCACCAGCCTCGCAGGGAGGCTCTTCCATTGTTGAACACCCCTTACCCTCAGATACTTAGACAGAAGCTCCTTGAAGCCACGAGCCAAATTCCCTCCTCTCAGGTTCCTCTTTTCCTCATATGGCTTGGCTTCCAGACCCTTGATCATCTTGGCTACCCTCCTCTGCACATGTTCCAGCTTGTCAACATCCTTCCGAAATTGTTGTCCATGTATGTCTAAAGTATTCCGTGTGTGGTCTGACCAAGCAGTATAGAATGCTGCTATTATTTCCCTTTATGCTGACACTACACTGGCTTCCCACTTACCTTTGTCTCTTGCAGGTGATATAAGGTTGCTGGCAAGACCTCCTCATCCATCTTTTCTTGGGTGGTGGAGCAGTGACTGTGGAAGCAGCTCAGGTAGGGGAAAGCAGCCTTGTGGGGAAAGAGGCGGAGGGGTGGGGCAGTCAGGGTTCCTCTGGAGTCCCAGGAATTTCTCGCCTCTTCTCTTGGCTTCTGTCAAAACTGCCCCTTGACGTTGTTTGGGGCATTGGGTGAGTCCTCCACCTACACAGAACAATGCACAGAACAAACACAAATAAATAATTCCATTAAGACGTTAAAAGAAGCATCCATTAAAAACAGCACAGCAGGAACAGGAAGGAAAGAGCAAAATAATTTGTGGTAATATAATCATTGGCTAAGAGGAGGACCTTTTTCTCTCTCTTTAAAGAGTTCACTGTCCTTTGAAGACGTCGCTGTTCCTTTCCCAGGTGAAGAGTGGGTGTTGCTGGGGTCCTGACCAGAGAGCTCTGCATCAAGGAGAATTGTGGGATCATGGCTGCTCTTGGTAAGGCTCCCTGTTGGATCTTAATATCTTTTTTGAAATTCCGTACAAATCTATCCATGTGAGGAACATCCCAGATTTTGATGGGGGTGAACAGCGCCACCTACAGCACCTGGGATTCTCACACCCCACAGCTCACCTTGAATGGAGGGCTATCCAGCTGTATAGCAAGACAATACCCAGCTGTTCCTCATTCTGCTAGGTGGTGTTTGCCCAGACAAAATCCATTCCAGAAAAGAGCTAGGCTTTTGGAATCTCAGGTACCCATATCCCTGAATGCCAGTAAACAAAGCCAGTGAACCCTGGAGTAAGATCTCATCTATCTCCTTTCTGTTCTTCCTCTCTCACAAGCATTAATGAGCATTGTTCAATAATTGGGGGCTCAATTTCTTGCTGAGGCTCTAACCCATTTCTCTTTTCCCTGCAGGTGGTGATGAATTGGAAATGAAGAATAAGGGAGACCATG